CCCGTTGCTCGCAGCGCATGCAGAGCTGCGCGTACACCCCAAACCCTAAACCCTAAACCCTAAACCCTAGGCCCTAAACCCTAAACCCTCGGCTCCAACCTCTAAACTCTAAGCCCTAAACCCCAAATCCTACGTTTTCAATTGTGGAACCCTAAATCCCGAACCCATAAACCCTAAACCCTAAACCCTAAACCCTAGAAAAGGGTTTAGGGTTTAGGGTTTAGGGTTTCACGTACTATCTGTGTCGAGCTGCAAGTCCCCCAAAGGAGTTGCGTATACACTGCATCTATCTGAGGGCAGCGAAACCCCCCGAAAATATTTATAGTGAGAGGGGCCCAGCAGAAACACCCGCTTGCTGCAACCACAAACCCTAAACCCTAAACCCTAAACCCTAAACCCTAAACCCTAGACCCTGTATTGCGGGGCGGATGACGCAAACCCTTGAGTACTACAACAAAAAACAGCAGATACATGTAAATATATAAAACAACAAACCCTCGTAACAAGTGATAAGCTCAGGGTTTAGGGTTTAGGGTTTAGGGTTTAGGGTTTAGGGTTTAGGGTTTACAAGTCCGAGGGGTTCACTTGCTTCCAGGCGCTAGCAGCTGTTGAGCCAGAAAAACGCAGGCCCGCGTGCCTGATAGAAACAAACAAAACCCTAAACCCTAAACCCTAAACCCTAAAACCCTAAACCCTAAACCCTAAACCCTAAACCCTAGATTTGTGTCCCGTCGCTATTCTCATCTCTAAATAGAAGAATTCCTTCGTGTAGCATTTTATAAAAGCAGTATAACCCTAAACCCTAAACCCTAAACCCTAAACCCTAAACTCGAAACCCTAAACCCTAAACCATAAACCCTAAACCCTAAACTCGAAAACCTGAACCCTAAACCCTAAACCCTAAACTCTACACCCTAAACTCGAAACTCTAAACCCTAAACCCTCAACTCGAAACCCTAAACCCTAAACCCTAAACCCTAAACTCTATACCGTAAACTCGAAACCCTAAACCCTAAACCCTAAACCCTAAACCCTAAACCCTAAACCCTAAACCCTTCTTACGGGCAGATGAGGGCCTTGATTTGTCCGTCGCAGACTTTGGTGGATCGCTGAAGCCACCGGCGAATTTGCCCCGTTAAACTTTTGCCTGAAACAAAACCCTAAACCCTAAACCCTAAACCCTAAACCCTAAACCCTAGACCCTATGTATAGGTTGTAGAGCTAAGCAAAGAGCTGAATACTACGTTCAAAACGAGGGTTTAGGGTCTAGGGTTTAGGGTCTAGGGTTTAGGGTTTAGGGTTTAGGGTTTGGGCCTCACAGTCCGCGTCATACCACGTCCCTGCATGCGTTGCTCTCCTTTGTTCTTGGCCTCCTCTGGATTGTTCCATCATCCTAGGGTTTAGGGTTTAGGGTTTAGGGTTTAGGGTTTAGGGTTTAGGGTTTAGAGTGTGAGACACGTTCTCCAGCAGAAACAAAGCGAAGCAACTAAGCTGATGCAGAGACAGGCGAAATACCTTTTGCTGGCGGTGCCTTGGTGTATATTTCAGAGTTAAAACCTAGGGTTTAGGGTTTAGGGTTTAGGGTTTAGGGTTTAGGGTTTAGGGTTTAGGGTTTGGAGTGCGTCGGGTCTCAAGAAGCAACAGGCGGTAGACCGGCAGCTATAGTGGTTAGAGTTTATTAAAAACTATCAAAACCCTCAAAAAAAAAAAGGGTTTAGGGTTTAGGGTTTAGGGTTTAGGGTTTAGGGTATGTTAAACATTTCGGGTGTATGTACACCCCAGAAGCAGCGGAGCGGCAACAGGGGGGTTCAGATAGAGAGAAAGGGGGCTTTATATGTATTTGTTTGTATCCTAATAAAAAGATAAACTCAATAAATAACAAATTAACAACAGAAGCACGAAAAAACCCTAAAAAATAAACCCTAAACCCTAAACCCTAAACCCTAAACCCTAAAGCGGTGGAGCCAGAGAGGCTCGCCGTGACCAGGGGGGGTGGGTCTTCTTCTTCGGGTGTATAGGCAGCTCTGGCGTTATATATTTATTATTTATTTATTTTTTATTTATTTATTTAAATTATATTTAATTTTGTTTATTATTTATTCTTTTTTTGGCTCTGTTTTCTTCCTGCATGTACACTAACACCACCAACCAGCAGCTCGCCGCTACCGCCTACGAGCCCTCGGGGCGGTTCCGCTCACCCCTAAACCCTAAACCCTAAACCCTAAACCCTAAACCCTAAACCCTAGACTGCACACCCTTAACCCCAGTCCCTTAACCCCATACTCTAAACCTTAAACCCTAAACCCTAAACCCTAATCCCTAAGCTCTATGCCCTGAACCCCAATCGCTCAACCCTAAACCCTAAACCCTAAACCCTAAACCCTAGGCTCTAAACCCTAAACCCCACCCCTTAACCCTAACTCGCAAGCCGTAAACCCTAAACCCTAAACCCTAAACCCTAAACAACTACCATAAGAGCGGAAACAAAACCTTTATGGGGAGGCTTGGGCACTAAACCCTTACAAAAACCCTAAACCCTAAACCCTAAACCCTAAACCCTTTTCACGAATGCTAAGACTCTACCATGAAGACTTGATGGAGAGGAGCTGCGGCTCCAAAACCCTAAACCCTAAACCCTAAACCCTAGATGAGTCTATTAAACCCTAAAGTACCTTCGTTCGCCCTATCCTCACCCTAAACCCTAAACCCTAAACCCTAAACCCTAAACCCTAAACCCTAACCCCTCTATTTCGCAGCTTCTGTTTAAACGCTTCTGTTTTGAGAGCCAATAAAAATGGGGTGCATGGGGTGCGCATCGCCCCCCCAGAGGGTAGGGGCCCCCAGCTAGCTGTCAGCTAGCTACCAGCTAGCTACCAGCTAGCCACCAGCTAGCCACCAGCTAGCTACTAGCTAGCTAGCTGGGGGCCCCCCCTGCACCGCGCATCAGCAAAACAGGCCAGGGGAGCCGCTCGACCGCGCCGCCTATCCGCTTCATTGCTGGAAATATTATGTGCCTG